CTTCACAGCATATTAAGATTAGATTGAGCGGGGAGCAGGCAAATTCACAAAAAAAGAGAACAAAATGATTCTCGATCTCCAAGTCTCCCTTCAACTGCATTCATAAAATCGCCTGTTTCTTGCATACGCAATTGGTGACCTATTTATGATGCCTCTAATATACTAATTTTTGGAAACTTAATATTTCATATGTCCCAAACAGAAAACGTCATAGAGAATGATGCAACAAATAGACATCAGAACCAAATTCCATCAAGCACAAATCAATGGGAAAGCGAAGGAAAATAATAGAAACTAAAACTCGGCATCAGATAAACCAAGCAATTTTTTAATCTTTTTATACAATAATAGTTTTTATTATCTTTTCTAAATAGTAAAATGGGCATATTACATACCAATAGTGAATCTCATATTGTAATGTATTTATGTACTGTCCTTCCAACTGGCCGTAGCTCAGAGTTGTAACACAAAAAAATCTTCGAAGACATAATTATATTGAAGTATGTTCGTATCTATAGATGCCACCATAAGCTACTGAACATGTATATTAACCTTTGCAACGAAAGATCAAGGCTGGCTTTTTTTAGTTAAATTGACACTCAATCTAAAGTACAAACATAAGAGAGGCCTACAAAACGTACTCTGCTTGGTAGAGAGCAGCTACCTCATCAAATGATTAATTGCCCACCTAAATTACGAAAAGATTCTTGTTCACTAAAGTCATGTTTTAAAAGTAAATAAAAAATGAGAATTGAAAGCCAAAAAAAAAGTTCAATCCTGAAGCATGTTGGCATCTGCGATGCGATTGTAAGCAACAACTGAAATCTAACATTAAGCCAAACAACTATTTGTTTTAGGAGACAAAGAACAAGCTATATTTGACACTATATTGCGTTAAATTCACGTTTTTGTATAACACAGAGTTTCTAAATTCTAAAACACATCACTCCTTTTTGTACTCTTTTTAGAAAAATTCAAGAACTTTTGAACCTGTTTATCTAGATTAATTATTATTGTAGTATCCATCATAATAACCATGAAACTTATCTCCTACATCATTCAACAGTTGTCATGCCACCAAATTCTCTAACATTTATATTCAGATATTCAGTAAAGGTGTAGCGAGTTGAAGCCATTAATACACCTCAAAAATGTAGCCAAGGTAGTTCAGAACACCATCATTATATATACAATATTGTAGTCTAGTCTGTCAATTTCCATTGACCGTGTACTTGAGTTTCTTGTATACACCAGCCGTCGTCATGCATTTCATATATAATGGCCTCTAGTACCCTAAATGATTACAGTTCCACATCAAATATGACAATTAAACTTGGTGATCCATGGCTAAAAAACAAATTAATTTTAAGTGGAACATGAAATAGAATTTTATCAGATGGTAAAATGCCAAGCATTGCAAGGATCAAACAATTCAATAGAAATTAGCTATTTACATGTCAATCAAACAAATAATTAATGCTATTAAGTCAATCGAGCAGGAGGCAAATCAAATGAGAGAGCAAAAGAAAGTTCCCCTCCTCCTCAGTCTGCCCTTCAACTAATCTAAATCAACTATTTCTTCATAGCATAAGAGCTTAAATCAACTGTTTAATAACAAAAATCAAACACAGCAAAGAAAAAAAGGAAAATGAATACGAACAAATAACCAGAAACTTTAGGCAAATTATGACACAACAACATTTTTTTTTCTGACTAAACCTTCAATAGCCACAAAATATTTTGATATTCAAAGACATACTAAAGAAAAAGTCAAGGAAAATTAATTAGCTTACAGAGATAGATAAGAAATTTGCAGTACAAGAATATCCGGTCATAGTGTTGGAGTATGAAGAGAACAAAGGCGCTCAAAATCCATGAATAATTTAACATAAAATCAAAAATTTTGAAAAGTAAATTGAATTTAAAATCTCAGTATTAACTTAAAAGTAAATTAATCCTATGGAATATCTGCCATATACAATAATTAACAATAAACAATATATGTCACTATTAGTAGTTAAATCAAAAAATGGAAAGACATACCTTTAGCAAAAATGAATACCGAAGACACGAAGAAAAAGGGAAGAACTTGAGAGGCAAAAAAGTCGAGTTTTTACTAAAATTATCCCATTATCTATGGGAGTAGTTCATTTAGTCCTTCAAATATAAAACGACTTTGTTTTCTACTGATGTAGAAGCCACTGTTATATCCAAAAATATTCCCGATCATAAGGTGGTTGAAGTGTACTTTGAACATCTTGATTCATATATTGGAAAAACTATACATACTAATGAAGTTAGTGGAGCAGAACAAGAGAAAGAAGTACATAGCGAGCATTCTTCGACTAATGATGAATTTGAAGACTCAGAAAATGATTTTTCAGATGATAATGAAAATGTGAATCATATATATGAAGTTAGTGAAGAAGTTAAGAAAAAAATGGCTGCTGAAGAAGGTGATACAGATTGCGTTGACTCGGATGATACAAAGAGTTTAGAATGTGACTCTGACAGTGAGAGTTTCAACTTTTCGATGTTCAATCCTAAAACAGACGGGGATAAACCAGTGTTGGCATTAGAATTGACATTTGAAAACAAGCATGAGTTCAAATATGCTGTAATAACTCATGAAGTTAATGAAGGGAAGTACATTAAGTGGTGCAAGAATGATAACTCGAGAGTGAGAGCAACTTGTGGTTATCCAGATTGCAAATGGGAGATTCTAGCTTCAAGAATGCATCGAGATAGAACATTTCAGATCAGAACATACAATCCCACTCATGATTGTAAGATTTGGAACCACCGTAACAAAGCAATCACATCTTCTTATATTGCACAAAGATATCTTAAGGCCATAAGCTCAAATAGGTCTTGGGCAATCGGTGCATTCAGAGATCACGTTAGTGTGGAACTTAGAGTTCAAGTGACATTATCACAATGCAGAAGGGCTAAGAAAAAAGCATTTGCGCTGATTGATGGAGATATTAATGCTCAATACAAGGTATTGTGGAACTATTGCAATGAAATTGGGAGGACAAATCCAAATACATCAGTCTATATGAAGTTGGTTGAAAATGAGGTGCCCGACAAGCCTAAGAGATTCCAAAGAATCTATATTTGTTTTAGTGGTTATAAAGATAGGTTTAAGAGCGGTTGTAGGAGAATAATTGGGGTGGATGGTTGTTGGCTTAAGGGTCCAATGTATGGGACTCAATTGTTAACTGCTGTTGGGCTTGATCCGAATAACAATATCATTCCGATAGCATATGCAGTTGTAGAGAAGGAAAGAAAGGAATCGTGGGAATGGTTTTTGAATTATTTGAAGCTTGACTTAGACATTGATGATGATGGTACTTGGACCTTCATGTCAGACAAGCAAAAAGGTTTGATTGAAGCGTTCAATGAGGTATTGCCATATGTTAGTCATCGATTCTGTGTGAGACACCTCCATAACAACTTCAAGAGGGCCGGATTCAGTAGTATCTCACTCAGGAATGCCCTTTGGAAGGCTGCAAAGGCTACAACAGTAAGTGGTTTGAGGATTGCATGGTTGACATCTTGATATAGATTCAGAAGCTGCTCANAGAAAATGCAGTTGCAGGAAATGGGATCTAACAGGAATTTCTTGCAAGCATGCCATTGCCGCGATTTGGGCTAAACATGATAACATTAATTCATATGTGGATGATTGTTATAAGGTAGAAACTTATAGAATGATCTATGGATTTTCTATTCTACCTATGAATGGTCAAGAGATGTGGCCTAAGTCGAATAACATTCCTCCTTTGCCTCCACGATTGGAAAGACAAAGTACCAAAGGAAGAAAACAAAAGCTTCGCAAAAAAGAGCCTGATGAAGTTGGAGCAAGTAGACAAAAAATGAAAAGGAAGCAAACAAAATTAGATTGTAGCTTATGCCATAATCCAGGCCATAACAAAAGAACCTGCAAGTTAAATCGTGTGTATCCAGATTCTTATGATGATGAGACGGTGCGACAAGAACCCTCATTTCCTATTGCATCTTCTGCTCCTGTAAAGCTTCCGGTATGAGTTTATTACACATATCACTTTATTTAATTATATTAGGGATACGGTAACGATAATATTTTTCTTTATTGTAGGTCAGAAGAGGGCCTGCTAGCCAGGACCATATGAAAGCAACTCAAGAAAGTAGAGTGATTGGAGATATATTTTTTGATATGTAAGTTTCTTCTTAAAAGGATTGGTTGTTGCTGCTGTAGGAGATTATTTTTTGCTGGTGAAGATTGGTGAAAAAGAGTTGGAATTGCTGTTGAAGACTATATGAATAGGTTGATATGCCTAGCAGACGGTTGGGATCGCTTGATATGCATGAAAGGGTTATTTTGTATCGCTAAAAGACTGACGTAAAAGAGTTGATTTTAGTAACTCTTCATTTTGGTTTAACTGATGTAAAGGGATATTATAACATATTTCTCAGAAACTTAACATATTTCTCTGTGAAGGAGATGAGTTCAATGAATATTTAGTTGGTTTGGGGTTTTACTATTGCTTTTGATGTGTCCAGTAAGTGGAGATGATTAAGCATATGAAGTTTAAACTAACTTTGTAAACAGAAAAAATAATGGTTTGCACTATTGATTCTGATAAGTCCTGCACATTAATTATAAGTTATTTTGACCTAAGAAATGAAGAAGCAAGAAGAAAGAAAACGTGCCTCAATCAAGAAAGAAGGAGAACACTGTTAGTTGAATTCTCTACCTAGGATAGTTAATTTAAAAAGATATGTTTCCTACATTAATTACTCCTTGGGTAAAGGTAGGGATGTCACTATTTTGAACTATTCAAATTTGCAGAACCCATAAGGAAATCATTTGAGAAGCTTCAGGCAATCACCGTTAGAAAATTTGCCCCTTCCGTTAGTTTTTAAGTTGGTGAGGTTAGTGAGACCAAAGGTGCTCTAGTTTAGCAAAGTTAAAGGATTAAAGATGCTCTATTTTATATTTGAAGGACTAAAATGAACCTACTCCCATAGATAAGGGATAATTTTAGTAAAAAACTCGACTTTTTTGCCTCTCAAGTTCTTCCTCTTCTTTTCTTCGTGTCTATCGGTATTCATTTTTGCTAAAGGTATGTCTTTCCCAATTTTTTGATTTTACTAGCTAATAGTGACATATATTGTTTATTGTTAATTATTGTATATGGCAGATTATCCATAGGATTAATTTTACTTTTAAGTTAATACTGAGATTTTAAATTCAATTTACTTTTCAAAATTTTTGATTTTATGTTTAAATTATTCATGGATTTTGAGCGCCTTTGTTCTCTCTATACTCCAACACTATGACCGGATATCTTTACTGCAAATATCTTATCTATCTCTGTAAGCTAATTAATTTTCCTTACTTTTTCTTTAGTATGTCTTGAATATCAAAATATTTTGTGGCTATTGAAGGTTTAGTCAGAAAAAAAAATTGTTGCTGTCATAATTTGCCTTAATAGCTTTCTGGGTTAGTTTGTTCGTATTCCATTTTTCCCTTTTTTTCTTTTGCTGTGTTTGATTTTTGTTATTAAACAGTTGATTTAAGTCTCTTATGCTATGAAGAAATAGTTGATTTAGGATTAAGTTGAAGGGCAGACTGGAGGAGGAACTTCTTGCTCTCTCATTGATTTGCCTCCTGCTCGATCTGATCTTAATAGCATTAATTTATTTGTTTGATTGACATGTAAATAGCTAATTTCTATGAAATTGGTTTGATCCTTGCAATGCTTGGCATTTTACAGCTGGATAAAATTCTATTTCATGGTTTCCACTTAAAATTAATTTGTTTTTTAAGCCATGGATCACCAAGTTTATTGTCATATTTGATGTGAACTGTAAATCATTTAGGGTACTAGAGGCCATTATATATGAAATGCATGACGACGGCCTGGTGTATACAAGAAACTCAAGTACACGGTCAATGGGAAATTGACAGACTAGGACTACAATTTGTATATTAATATGATGGTGTCTCTGACACTACCTTGGCTACATTTTTGAGGTGTATTAATGGCTTCAACTCGCTACACCTTTACCTGAATATCTGAATATAAATGTTAGAGAATTTGGTGGCATGACACTGTTAATGATGTAGGAGATAAGTTTCACTGGTTTATTATGATGACTACTACAATAATAATTAATCTAGATAACAGGTTCAAAGTTCTTGAATTGTTTCTAAAAAGAGTACAAAAAGGAGTGATGTGTTTAGAATTTAGAAACTCTGTGTTATACAAAAACGTGAATTTAACTGCAATATAGTGTCAAATATAGCTTGTCTTGTCTCCTAAACAAATGTTGTTTGGCTTAATGTAGATGTTCAGTTGCTTACAATCGCATCCGCAGATGCCAACATGCTTCAGGGATTGAACTTTTTTTCTTTTGGCTTTCAATTCTCATTTTTTATTTACTTTTACAACATGACTTTAGTGAACAAGAATCTTTTCGTAATTTAGGTGGGCAATTAATCATTTGATGAGGTAGCTGCTCTCTACCAAGCAGAGTACGTTTGTAGGCCTCTCTTATGTTTGTACTTTAGATTGAGTGTCAATTTAACTAAAAAACAGCCAGCCTTGATCTTTCGTTGCAAAGGTTAATATACATGTTCAGTAGCTTATGGTGGCATCTATAGATACGAACATACTTCATATAATTATTCTTCTGAAGATTTTTTTGTGTTACAACTCTGAGCTACGGCCAGTTGGAGACATGTACATAAATACATACAATATATGAGATTCACTATTGGTATGTAAATATTGCCCATTTTACTATTTAGAAAAGATAAATAAAAACTATTATTGTATAAAAAGATTAAAATAATTGCTTGGTTTATTCTGATGCGAGTTTTAGTGTTCTATTATTTTCCTTCGCTTTTCCATTGATTTGTGGGTTTGGTGGAATTTGGTTCTGCTGGTCTGATTTGTGCATCATTCTCTATTGACGTTTTCTGTTTGGGACATGTCTAAATAGTTAAGTTCTCCAAAAATTAGTATATTTAGAGGCATCATAAATAGGTCACCAATGCTATGCAGAAACAGCCGATTTATGATGCAGTTGAAGGGAGACTGGAGAGAGGAACTATTTTGTTCTCTTTGTGATTTGCCTGCTGCTCAATCTAATCTTAATAGTGTGAAGATAGTTGATTATGCTGAAAGAAAACTTTTTTCATGTGGGTTAAGCGGATTGTCTCTTTCGTTGCCCTCTTTATGTTGTCTTTCCTATTCTGTAATATGTATTCTTTGGATAACTTTTTTTGCTTGGCAAAGATGATCTTTGACTAATTTATTGCCACTTTGATGTTTCCTTTATATTACGTAGTTGCTGAGAATATATGCTCCTCCAGTAGGTACAATAGTTTTGTACTGTACACCTGGTTGATGTAACTGCTGCGTGTCTTGTAGATTTATATATATCTAGAAGATTAAATAGTCTTGTACATTCTTCTAAACTAATTATGAACTAAATTTAGTGTTACAACAGTGATATTAATTCATTCTTTGTCTACTGAACTAAACACTGAGGAATAAATAATGAGACAAACAACAACAATAAGCCCAGTGAAAACTCCCGCTATTCCATGGAGATGTGCTTAGTAGCTATTTTGTATCTCAAGTGTGAACTGTGCATACGACACATAGCATTGGGATTACGAAAGTGAAAGGCTCCAAATCAACAAGTGGCTTCTAATTATCAAAATATCATTTGATCAACTGTCTCATGCTTAACTTTTGAATGTATTATAGTTTCTTCGTTACTCCCTCCGATCCAAAATAAGTAATTTTTTTGGATGTTTTCACACAAATTAAGAAATCCACCTTTTAGCATTAATTAGCAATGGAGTTGACCACATTAACCTTTACTATCTCACATAAACACTCCTAACACATATTCCAACACCATTTACTTCAAGGACAATGTAGGAAAAAAATAATTAATTCATTCTTGAAATTTGGAAAAATCGCTCATTTTGGACCACAAGAAAAAGGCCAAAAAATCACTTATTTTGGACCGGAGGGAGTAGTTCCCTACAGCAGGAACATTCCTCTATTATTTCATTGGACAAATTCATTGATAAAAACAAGGTCTTGCTTTGGACCATATAACGATCAACAACTTCACTTAATTATTTTAACTTCCCCAATTGATTACTATGCTTTAGGGAAATTGATAACAAAATTAACTTCAACGGAGGTAGATTTGTCCTCTATTTCATCTTTACAAGGATAGCAGTCGCCATCAAATACTCCCACAAAAAAAGGCAAGCTTAATTTAACAGTAACACAACTCTTCACTGAATATTTTGGTTAGAATCAAAAGGTAACACAACGTGTAACGGAACTATATAAGCTTTCTTTGCATTGGGCCCGAGCGAAGCTCGGGCTACTCATACTAGTATTTGTATAAGTATAAATTGTTCAATAATAAAGTAATAATTTTAAAATTAATATTTTTAAATATATAGATATTTTATTCTTATTGGACAGACTAAAAAGAAAGTGCACCACATGAACAGGAACCAAAAACAAGTATATACAAACTATAGTCCATGAATCCAAGTAGAATTAAATATCTTTATGGAGTAGCAGGAAATTAAACGGAAAATGACCATTCAACTCTTTAAATAGCAAGCAGCCACAACATTTTACACTTGAAAGTTTTGACTGACCGCCAAATCATTAGTCAAGGAAAAAAGAAGTTTGGTCGCTGGATTTATTGGGAAACCCTGGCATGTTAATTGGAGCTCGAGCGCTTTTAATCAAGCAATATATCATGCTTTCAAATAAATAGTAGTGGGTGACGTTCAATCCTACTCTCTATAGGAAAGTAATACAGTCGTTAGCAATAATAAATCCAATAAAGGTTGAGGTCGAATCCCACAAGAAGTATGTGTATGTTTGAGTGTCCAAATGCGTGTCAATTTGGTGATTCTTAATGTAATCTTCAAACAGAGAGTGGTTGTTCAATTACTTTTGTGATGACCCAAAGGGTCATCTTATGTTTTAGAACTCAATTCCATGTTTCGAGTCCCTCAAAATATTATTTTATTCCTCCTCGATTTGCGTGCGCTGTCCGGGCGCGTTTCCGGAAAGCCCTTATGTGAAAATTTGAGAAAAATAATAATTTTTACCTTTAAAAGTTGATTTTAGTTGACTTCGGTCAACGTTTTGAGTAAACGGACCCGGACCCGTGTTATGACGGTCCTGGTGGGTCCGTAGTAAGATATGGGACTTGGGCGTATGTCTGGAATCGGATTTGGAGGTCCCTAGCCTGAGTAATGAATTTTTGTTAAAAATTGTAAATCTGAAAAAACTAATGATTTAAAGAATTTGATTAATGATTGATCTCATTGGTATCGGGCCCGTATTTTGGTTCCGGAGCCCGGTACATATTTAATATAATATTTAAGTCATGTCTGTGAAATTTGGTGAAAATGGAGTTTATTTGACGTGATCCGAGCATCCGGTTGAGAAAAGAGGAATTTCAAGTGTTCATAAGAATTTCATGTGTTTTGTTGTTAAATCCGTAGTTTTAGATGTTATTTTGGAGATTTGATCGCAAGAGCAAGTTCGTATAATTTCTTAAGACTTGTATGTGTGTTTGGTTTGGATCCCCGAGGGCTCGGGTGAGTTTCGGATAGGCTACGGGGTGTTTTAGAACATAAAAAATTTTGCTGGTATAGCTGAACTTGTTGCAGGCCTCTGATCTCGCATTTGCGAGATCAGGCATCGCAATAGCGAACCCTGCAGGTTCCGCATTTGCGGGGCTTTTTCATCACAAATGCGAAGAAAAGCTGTGCTAGTAGTTCTCGCATTTGCGAGGTTACCTTCGCAATTGCGAAGGGAGACTGGGAGGGGCACGGATCGCAAATGCGAAGTTTTACTCGCATTTGCAAGGTTCACTGATGGAAATTGCGGCACTTTCCTAGCATTTGCGAAGGTAGCAGGACTGTGAAGGGCTTCGCAATTGTGATAGCTCCTTCGCATTTGCGAAGCTCAGGTCGCAAATGCGACATCTGCAGCTGTGTAAAAGGGGCTTAGACGGGATTTTTTATTCATTTCCCAAATTTTCAAAACCTAAACCTCAAGAGACGATTTTTCAAAGACCATTTCTTCCCCAAATCATAGGTAAGTGGTTCTTAACTCATTTCTTTCGATTATTCACTTCTTTTAACAAGATTTCAACCTAGAATCTAGGATTTTCATGGTGGAATTGGAGATTTTTGGGTAGAAACTAGGGATTTCGAAATTTGGGAATTTAGACCTAAAATTGAGGTCGGATTCCAAAACCAATTGTATATCGAGGCTCGGGGGTGAATGGGTAATCGGGTTTTGGTCCGAATTTCGGGTTTTGATCAAACGGGTTCGGGGTCAGTTTTTGACTTTTTGGGGGAAATGTTGGGAAACTTATAATTATGTATTGGAATTGACTTCTTTAGCGATAATTGATGTTGTTAAGTTTATTATGACTAGATACGAGTGGTTCGAAGGTGGAAACTAGAGAAAAAGCGGTAATTGAGCGTTGAGTTGGCTGTTGGATTGAGGTAAATGTTGTGTCTAACTTGGACTTGAGGGATTACGGATCCCCGACTTAATTGCTATGTGAAAATCCATGTGTGTGGCGTATAAGTGAGGTGACGAGTACCAATGCGCTGCCAAATTATCTGTTTTGCCTGTTTCTTTCCCCGTTCTTAATATATTATCTTCATGTCTTAAATGCTACATGCTTATTGGTGTTTTCATGTTTGATTGCTACTTGTTAGATGTTGTTTTTCTTAATTGGAGGTATTTCTATCCCGTAGTTTCATTGTATCACATTATTGGTTTAAGTTGTTTTATCGGTGTTTTATGGTACATTTTGGGCTGGTCTCGCTGTGTAGTACTAATTAAGTGAAGTTTCATAATTGTGTAGCTTTCTGGTTGCTTCGGTTTGAGGCTTAAATATTATGGAGAGTTTTGAGCTAAATTGTGAAATTCCTGATCTTATTGTGTGATTGTTGCGCTCTGCAACAGGAGATATAAGGATGATATATTGAGGAGGAATAAGGGTGAAATGCTATTATTTGGTGGGATTGGGTTGCACGCCGCAACAGGAGTAATAAGGGTGGTATATTGAGGAGAAATAAGGGTGAATTACTATTGTACGATCGGATCGGGTTGCACGCTGCAACTGGAGGAATAAGGGTGGATGATGTGGAGTAATAAGGGTGAATATTTATATTGATATTGATTATATGGTGGGATCGGATGCGCGCAGCATCAGTTTATGTGTTTGTGTATCTTTCTTCTATTGTGCAAGTTATTCTATAATTTGGCTTTACACTTAAGGATTGGTTATAGCTGGGTACTGATGAAATACCAGAGTTCTGAATTCTTTCCTTGCAAGTTACTATTTTATCTGCTCTATTCTTCTTTCTGTTTTATTATGCACTGTATGCAGGTTATATTGTAACTGCCCCGCCGTAACCTGATCAGTACTTCGTCGAGGTTAGGCTCAACACTTACCAGTACATGTGATCGGTTGTATTGATACTGTACTCTGCACTTTCTGTGTAGATTTTGGAGCTAGTAGTGGCCGATCGAGAGGTCGGTTGCAGACATTTCATCTAGGAGACTCAAGGTAGTCCTGCTGGCGTCCGCAGGCCTTGGCGTCCCCTCATATGTTTCTACATTCATGTTTTCTTTTCTTTCGAAACAGTTGTAATTTCCTTCAGACCAGTGTTTGTAGAAATTCTAGAATATTCGTGAGTTGTGACACCGGATTCTGGGTAATGATCGCTATATATATATATAATGAGACTCTTTACTTATTTCCGCAATTATTTCTGCTTGTTTAAGTTGTTCACTCGTAATCATTAAAAGGTAAAAGAAATTGGTTAATAACACTCTAACGTTGGCTTGCCTAGCAAGTGTGATGTTAGGCGCCATCACGATCCCGAGGGTGGGAATTTCGGATCGTGACACTAAAGTTACATCTAGAATTATTTTGAAAACTAGTCTAGGAATTTTATCAAACACTTGGAGTGCGAGTAAAAATATAGTTGTAACAAATAAGAGAAAGACCTAGAGCTTCCCATCGTGTAGGCTATGTTTTTGGCTATACAAATGTTCAATTCTAGTTAATTGAGCATGTGTTATAGCCTCAATTTATATTCCACCAACTTAATGTCTTCCAATACTTAAGAGGTTTTTACCCCAAGTTGCTATTCAAAGTCAAACTAAGGCTCAATGATGAGAAATTGATTAGCCAAAGTAAAAATCATACTATATTCCTAGTTAGA